ATAAAGTAATAAAGTGAGAGGGAGAAAGTGTACTCAATTGAGGGAGTGTTTGCAACAACTTGTGCTTAAAAAAAACACTTTTGGGGTGATTTGGAAAAAATGGTTAGTTGTAAAAGTTGATAGTGTTTGAGAAAAAAATTATTTTGAAAAGTAAAAGTTGGTAGTGTTTGGTAAAATAAGTGCTTTTGGTGTATAAAAAGGGGAAAAATACGATTGACACGAAAGTCGAGAAAAGCAAAAAAATTGGTAGTGTTTGGTAAATAATTGCTTTTTAAAGCCAAAAATTGAGAAATGCTTTTTTTAAAGCTGTTGCAAACCAGCCCCGAGTATAGTAACTACAATAACAACAAAATTCAAAATATAGCAAATAGAGAGAAACTCCTTTCACGATACGATGATAACCCTGTATGAAAAAATCCGAATGGGCCGAAATCTCAAGGGAAAATATCACAAATATACTTAAAAGGGAAAATAATATCAATTTTGTCACCTTCAAAATTTTCTTTCAAAAATAAACTCACTGGAAATTTCTTTTCACAAATACTCCCTCCGGTCCCTATTAAAGTTCACAGTTTGACTTCATAGAGATTAAGAAAATAAATTTGACTTTACTGTGGAGTGCACTGTTTGGCACTGTTTTGCACTGTTTTGTTTCCTAAAACAGAAGTGTGAACTTAAATAAGAGATATTCATAAAAGGAAAGTGAGAACTTTAATAGGGACCGGAGGGAGTAGGTCATATCTATGGTTGACTGAAATTAGAAATCGAAGCCGTCACAACGCTGAACGCTCAGATAGAGAAAACATTATCTCTCTCTCACACAGACATACCGGAAGGCGTCATGCGGATCCCCCCCCCCCCCCACAAAACAACACCTCCACCTTTATGAAATCTTCATCGTTGTTGTTGGCGGCGATTTACCGTGGAAGAAGCGCCAATTGATTGTCATAACCAGTGTAGATCCAGAACCCGCCGGGAAGTTTAGGGAGCTCCTGGACAATCTAACAGGTTCAATGATCAACAATATTAACCTGAAGTTTTCTAAAATTATTTGTTAGTTTTCGTTGATTTTATGATTACATTCCAACGTTCTTTGTTTATTGGAGCATATATATTTATTTTTATATAGTTTGTGAGCCGATCAGTTGATCGATGCTGATTTTCCAATTTGAATTAAGAATCACAAACTGGAGTTTAAGATTAGCAAATTCTTTAGTAATGTTATACTCTATTGTATTTGTATTAGCACAATAAGTACTGATCTCAGAAGATGGATTGTGTTCAGATTATGCAGGTTACCAAACTAGCTATTGAACATGCAAATTTCCTCTACTTAGCTGAATATTATTTTGATTATAAGTAAGCTTTCAATACTTATGCTTAATTGAATACAAACTTTGATGAACAGGATCTGATTTGCTTCCTGCTGGAAAGACTTAATGCCTGGTTCTTCCTCTTCTCCTCTCTTGGAATTAGAATGGTGCTCAACTTGTCTTTATTTTTGTTTGATGAACAAGAAGGAACATGGAATAATTCTCTTGTTCAACACCTGCAGCAGTTAGTTTGATTTGCGTAGCCCGTTGCAGAAGCGGAGAAGCCTGCTGTTTTTAACCCTGTTTTGTGAAGCTGAGCAACTTCTATTCGTTGGGATAAAGCTTTTCATACAGTAAAGTGAAATTTTAGCTGCTCACGCTGTCCATCAAATATAAACTCTGTGGTATAAAAAAGACTTGCATACTCGACTTCACTACTAAACAAAGATGGGAACAAAAAAGTTCATTTCGGTTTGGAAAAAGCTAATTGCAGTACACCCTTTTAATCTAAATGAAAAAAAGGCAGGCGAGGGACAGCAGATGTGGAGTAGGGGATCTTTCCCAAGCGGAGTTCTTGTCAAAGCGGTAGCTTCCCTTGATCGATTAAAATACAAGAGGTGGGCTTCCTGTTGGAACTCACAATATCATACCCTAGATAGATTCCATATACATGTATGGGAATTTGTAACTTGCTTGGACAATAACAAGAGGTGATGTTGGTGTGAAGGTGCTTCTCATGATTAAGAAACCATTGCTTCGATCTGCATAGAAGAAACCAATAGGTCATGTAATCAAGTTTGATGAAAAACATTTTACTTTTCTGAAATTTGACTAGAAGCACAAAAGCTAGCGTTTTATATTAGTTTCATACTCTTTATATATTGTTTTTTGTTGTTGCGAATGTGTTAGGTGGAACACTCAAACTTATTACTCCGTACTTTTTTTTAAAGAGGAAACTTATTTATTAATGATAAAATTAATGAGACATAAAGCAATATAATAGCACAAAACTACACTGCATGAGATGAGACATCGAATCGACTTGCTCCCCAGGACCAATCAGATTCGCTAATCTCACGTCTATGTAGTCCAATTTAACAATACAACTGAACTTAGTATTCAAATGACGATTAAAAGAAAACAAATTGTCCTTACAAGGAAAGAAATAAATTAATTCAAGTATCCCAATTTTACCCGCCACCGGAAAGGGAAAAGAGGTTTGCCCAACCACCTTCAAAGGAGCACTCCGTGTTTACTTTCCATTTTTGAGTTGTCGCCATCGACCTCCGTGTTTACTTGGACCTCCACCAAACCTTGAAAATTAACTGCCCTTCTCTTCCTTGATTCTCCTTAACTCTGCCCTGGTCCTACTCCTCAACAATACTCATCTTCTCTTTTCCCTTTGAAGTTAATCCTTGGACTAAGTAAAATCCATCTCATTCTTCCCCAATCAATTGTTTTACCCATGGATCCTCTTCCCCCACTTGGAACAAGTCATTTATTTCTTGGATGCATCCCACCACGACATATATTGGCACGCATCCGGGAGCCATAAAGGCCTCTCCCCAATCCAAGCCCCCAAGTGGGTGTTTCATGGGTAATAGCGGTCAACATATCCTAGCACCCACAGATGAAGCAAAAATTGGGGAGTCGCTCGTACTTGAAGTCTTCCCACAACCAATTGTCGCCCTCTTCCCTGATCTGTGTCCTCTTCAATGCATTCTCAATGTGAATGAAAACTCTAATGCGAACATGCTCTTTACTAGTTCCTTTTAGAATCCTCTCATCAATCTGAACCAGTCTTCCTAAATAACTACCAATAGTTGTCGCTAATTTTGGGACCCGGGTCGGGTTGTAATTTTATTTATTTATTTATTTATTTATTTATTTATTTATTTATTATTATTTACATTTTCTAATTAATTTCAACCCCCTCTCCCACCCCCAACCCCCCAAAAACACCCACCCCCAACCCGCCTACCACCCAAAAATTTGAAAAAAAAAAAATTGGGCCCAGACCGAGCCCCGCCCAGCCGGGCCGGTTCCAAAGGAGCTGCATCCCGGAACCGCCCCCCGCAAACACCACGGGCTGGTCCTAGGCCCGGAACCGGTCCCAGTTCACCGGGCCGATCGGGTTCCCGGGCTGGTCAAACTAGAACTGGGCCACCCATAGACACAGTCACACATATGTATGTTGAAGTATATTTGTAATGTAATTTAAAAAAAAGTATGTATACTTATATACTGAGCGGGGCGGGTCGAGGCGGCACAGGTCAATACTAATATCCGGACCTGCCCCATTGTATGGGCAGGGCGGACCCGCCCTAAATGTCTCGGGCCAGGTCGGGTCATTGCGGACTGGGTTTTTTGACATGCCTACAGATATTGAAAGGTATTAATAATAGAAATGTTAATAAGTACAAACACGATAAATGAGGGAAAATAAGTGCAAATCATAAATACACTTTGTTGGAGCGAGATGAAAAGATGAAGTTGAAGTGATAATAAATCAAATGTATTTACTTTTCTTTTTTTGAATATAAAGAATCAGATTTTTGTATTAAAATCGAGAAAAGATACAAGATAACATTCAGACAGTTAAGGTAGGTTCGATTGTGAGCCCCAGAAATAGACATATAATCAATTATCTCGTACAAATCAATCTGATTCGCTCGACACGAAATATGCAATTTAAAGCATTAAACAATCGGGACTGAAATACTATCTATCAAATTACATACATTTAAAGTGTACTTACTTAGATTAACACATATGTTGAACACTTACACATGAAAATGAATTTATTTAAAATACGGAATAGAATTAGAATCCAATGGATATTGATCAATTATAGTTCTATTGACCAATGGACAAATCAAATAAAAAGGGTCTTACTATTTGTGTTCCTTTACTGACATGAAGATCGATAAAGGAGTAAAGGGTCATTTTGGTTCTCGAAGTTGTATAAAAAGTATCAAATAAATCCTTATAAAGAAAATTCTGTCTCGACGTGTCATTTGAGGCGTTTCACGGTGGCATTTTTTGATACAAGTTTTTGAGCAACTTATTCATTAAGTCTAGTTTAGTCATACCAAATTTCAGCTAAAAATTCAATCGGGAAGACATTCAAATGAATTCTTGAAGATAACTGCGCTTTTAACTGCATAGTTATCTCCAAAAATTCTGAATGTCTTCCCGATTGAATTTCTATCTGAAATTTTGGTATGAGTGAACTAGACTTAATGAATAAGATGCTCAAAAATTTCATCAAAAAATTCCACCGGGAACCGCCCCAAATGGCGACGGCCGGATAGAACCTCCTATATAAGGACTTATTTGACCCCCTTTATACAACTTCGAGGACCAAATTGATCCTTTAGTCATTGATAAAGTAAAAGTACTAATACTATCTGTATGATTGAAGTTTGTGCAGATGAGAGATACTCCCTCCGGTCCTTATTAAAGTTCTCACTTTCCTTTTCGGAATGTCCCTTAATTAAGTTTACACTTCCATTTTAGGAAACAAAACAGTGCAAAATAATACCAAACAGTGTCAAACAGTGCCAAACAATGCACTTCATAGTAAAGTCAAATTTATTTTCTTAATTTGTGTGAAGTCAAACTAAGAACTTTATTAAAGACGGGAGAGAGTAATAAATTAAAATGACAAATTTACAATTTTCGCCCACAAAAATAAATAAATTTGGCAATTAAGCAAAAGAGAGTATAATAAGGTGTGAAACTTTGCAGCCATGACCGTTTGTGTTCAACTCGATTCATATATGGCAGGGACACTCCGAACCACATTCCTCAATCCCCTCACCGCAGGATGTATGACTTCCGTTCGCCGTCGACTTTATTTTCCGGGTACCCTCTTTCCATTTTCCTGCAATCATTACTCGGTCAGAATCCAACTCCGTCCAGCACTCGCTCGGAAGTGTCCCTCATTTCCTTCAATTTCTATTAGAGCCCAAAAGCAATCTTACCAGGTTACTTTCTTGTATATGTAGTTAAATTTGGAATCCAGAGCGTGAAAACAACAATGGTTTCCTTCAGGGTAATGAAAGTGAAAACCAAATTCCAGTAGAAGACTACAATTGGGCGGCACCTATTCTGAATTTCGCATCAAATAACTTTCTTCCATTAGGTATGTTTGTGATGTCCGAACTGCATGATTCACTATCAATAAAATTGGTCCTTGTTTTGCAAACTTCGATGTGGGTGGAGACTGGAGCAAATGCTCAAGGGGAATATTTAAGCCGCTTAACTACAAAGTATCAATTTCCAGTGATTTGTTATCATGTTATGGGATGATTGACAAGGCATCATCTTTTATTGCCTTCATTTTTTTGTAGTATTGCATCCAACTTTTTATAACACTAAGTTTGTTAAAAGAAAAGGATGTATATGAATAAGATTTTTTATATAATTCGTTCTTAATTACGGAGTACTAGGTACTCCCTAAAATTCATAAGCAACACTTACCCAGCGGAAGAACCACGGGAAAAAGGAGTTTAGTGCGATCTTGGACTGCAAAAGGAGTATATCTTAGTTAGACTAGAAAAGAAGAGATAGGGAGCTGACAAACACAACCTTGGAGAAGTTGTATGTATCCCTTCTATGTTGAGGTTGTCAGACTCATCGACATGATGAAGCCTGTTTAGTAATTAGGTTGTGTATTGTGGAAGAACCTTTCTGATGATTTTCTTGTTTCTCAAATACCCAAGTGTAGAGTTGCATTTTTATCTTCAAATTCAAATGCTCTGTCAAAACTGTGCACTATTATTTAAACCCACTACAATGCTATACAGTGGACCTAATAGCATGACAATGACGTTAGTTTATCATATGGCCTTGCAGTATAGGTTTACATTAAAACATGTTGAGTAACTTACCTCAACACAAACATTGCTTTTACCAAGTCTCACCTTAGGCATACATGTGTGCTAGGTTAGTCATGTTTTCTGAAGCAGAATGTGCTCCAATATCTTCCATGAGATCCAAGATCTGAGTTATCTAATAAAGCTGTTTGATTTTCTCCAGGAGAATAAAATTCTGAATATCATTGCAAAAGAAACACACGTAGGTTAAAAGGTCTGGCAATAGTTGGTTGTTTAGGAATCCTATTAGATTTAGTCAAATAGGAATACAATAATTAAATAAACACTTAATAATGTCTCTTACTTTAAACTAGCTATCAGCTAGGGCTCTTTATGGTAACTTAAGGGCTTAGATTATTACTTTAAGAAATAAAACATTCATGAAATAGACCCATTATAGAGATTAGAGACAAAGACCTATTCAAATTGTTTATTTATTTGTATGTGCATTTGTTCAGATGTCTGTCACTCGAAATAAACATTGGTGACTGTTGAGTTTTAAAAAGGGAAGTTAACGTGAAAGTGCTTTTTATTGTTTAAACTTGCTCTGGCAGATATAGGGCATGAAGTGGAGTATAATATATAGGTTGTTATCATACCTGTTATTGCTTGTGGAGTTGGGGAAAGATTAAATTGTTAAAGAAATTAGTGATACATTGGAATGAGTGGAATGACCATTTGAGAAGTAGCATATCAGGAATAGGCGTATGCAGGTTTGATAAGAAAAAAAAGTACTAGTCTTGGTATGCTTTTGGGATAATTCCATGAATAGTAGAACATCTGTATATCTTAAAAAGGAGCGGTATGTTTTATAGGAGTAAAAAATTGAGTAAATGGACAAAATACTCCTACTTGTATAATTAAATTTTTACAATACAAAAGTAATATTTACTGGCGCCGGACTGGAAAAATATGGTCATCCTGAAACTATACTTCCATCCTTGTATTATCATCCTAGATTTCGAGTTTCCGGTCACTCACACCAAGTACTGACGTACTGTCATCTTGAAACTATAGTGGATTCCCTATGACCGCTAGCCAAGATTGTCATCCTAAAATCTCTCTGTCTTCCTGATATTGACCGTTAGGTGTGACTGGCACTGGCGGCTGCAGTTGGTTGTGTTGATAGGTGGGATGCAATTTATTTTATTTATGATTAGAAAATTGAGTTTTATTTGTATGACATGAGTACATATAATTAAGAAAATTTGGCGAAGGAAACAATAGAATAGGTAGTCCGATATAGAGAATGATCTTTTGAGAACTGTCAGATCAGGACTTGGCAAGAAAACAATAGAATAGGTAGTCCGATATAGAGAATGATCTATTGCTTATCAAGGTTTGATAAGCAATAGAAATGCATGAGTCGTACTCTGTATTATTTCTGTATGTGGAAAACTTTGTTCTGTATTATAGATGCATAACAATTACTTAATTTTGTGTACAGCTCTTATATGCGGAGTAACCCTTGGGTTGGCAAATCCTAGCCTTGGTTGTATTGCAGATAGATATTATCTCTCCAAGCTCAGCACTTTTGGGATATTCACTATCTCCGGTAATACCATTGTTGTCACTGTTATTATTTTATTTTTCATATTGCTAATGACCTGTTATCTACCTTCTTTCGATACAGGGCTGACACTCCGTACAGAAGAAATCGCTGCTGCTGCTGAAGCTTGGCCGGTTGCACTGTTTGGTCTTGTATGAACTTCCTTCTCATGTGCCAATTTACTTTTTGTAGGTTCATTTTTTCCATCTCTCCACTTTTTGCATTAGCTAGCTGTAGTTTTTTAACATGCTGCTTCATTGCAGATTTGCAGGACATGGACTGATTTATTTTTCTTTCATATAAATTCGTATACTCCTTTTGGAAGCATTTTAAGTTTGTATGTCCATGAGTGTGAGTGAGATAGTGAGAGTGTGCACATTAAGTCTATATTTGCTAGACCCAGGTGCTGTGTTTATGTATATTTCACTTTTGAAAATAGTGGATGACCAAAGTTCCACCATATAACACTGCCATAACCCACCGTTCTTCACAAATTTTGCATGAATTATGTTGAACGTAGACATAATAACAATTTCCTACATACTCAACCACCAAGAGAATTGTGTATTCTATATTTGATGATTATATATTTTGTCAGTTTCTCTTGTCTTTCGATTAATGCAGGCTTCTATTTTGTTCATCACACCTCTGTTTTCAAAGATTATTTTGCTGCTTCGGCTTCAGCCTCAAGAATTCATCACAGGTTATAAAGATAATTTTGTATTTAAATGAAAGAAAACGTTATTATAGCTGTCATTTGATAATTATATAAGAATACTTTAAGTTTTTGAACAAATAGAAAGTGTTAGATGCATAGCTAGGGGTATAAACTTCCGACTCTTTCTGAGCAATCAACGGTCATCTTTGGCTTGTACAGGTCTAGCTATATTTTGCTGCATGCCAACAACATTATCTAGCGGAGTGGCTCTAACTAGGGTATGGCAAATCGCTCAGATATTATCAGATACTACTAGTTATAGTAGTTATCCCCATGATTTTAAATTGTGGTCGTGCGGTTCGGCTATTGCAGCTGCTGCAATGTGTATTGCAGCCACTGCGATGGGTATTGTGTTTGCATGAAATACTAATAAATAAAAATTATGAGAAAAATGTGTTAGTGTAGAAACATACATGTAGAAGAAAAATGAAAAGAATATGAAATGCTAAAAGGTAGTCCATGGCAAGATAACGTGCTCAACATCCTAGGGCGGTTCAACACTAAGAAGTCCTAAATTCTATTAGTCGCTGAATACCTTCTATGCTTACGGAAATCTTCATTGTGAAAGGGGCATTAGTAGCGATGTGTTCTAACTTCTGACCTAATATAGCACAATATGTAAATAAGCAGAAAATAAGTTGATTGAAGAATTATAGCTGTTCTATTTAAGCTTCTGATTTCTAGAATTATGCCGAGCCCTAAAACCCGTAACTGATCTGACCCCCTTTATCTTGCTTATTTTACTTCCTTCAAGCCTCTATGACTCTATCACAAACCCACCCGTATTTGGCCTGCAACCTGCTCGTGACGGGCAACAAGGTGGGATGTAATACATTGTATTTTTGGCAATAAGTTACAAGGAGAAATATCACACAGGATAAAAATAAATGAAATATAATATCACCTTCCAATGAAAATTTAATTAGGTATATAGTTATATACACTATGAAGTGTTGTGAATATGATAGCTTAACTCTATGTAAATTGTAAAGTATTTAGGATTATATTTTGTATAATTACATGGCATTAGAATTGATTAAATAGTATTGGCTTTTATATTTGAAAAAGTATTGTATTTTATATTTGTATTTAATAATTTACACATGGGTCACCTGGTCCACTCTGGGGATGGGCGAGCTTGCACTTTTAGGTACACTCCCTGCCCCATTGCCAAAGTAAGTATTTCTATATTGATTGTAGTTTTGAAATGCCAAAGTGCAGCTGGCTGGAGGAAATTCTGCCCTTGCTCTTACAATCACATTGATATCAAGTCTCACAGGAATTCTGATTGTATGTTAGCGCACTGTTATGACTTATGCGATTCTATGTCAAAAAGTTTACACTATTATCTAACATAGATATATTTCTAATGCTTTCCAATGTGATCTTAGATACCGTTTTCCATCTCAAAGCTCATTGCCAGGGGAGTTGGTCTACCTGTTCCGACTCAGCAGCTGTTGACAGGCCTTGTTCTAACACTCTTGGTTCCTCTCATTCTCGGGAAGGTGTCTTTCACTCTGAAGAAGCATATCTTGTAAAGAATTGTAAATTTAAATTTTCTGTTTTCTATTTCTCATTGGAGAAAAAGTTCCTAATTGTTAATGCCCCATGAACTCCTGAATCCCTATGTATTTGTTTCCTTTAGAGTTACTTTAGTTTGAGTGTTATGGAGCCATGGAGGAAGGGCAGGGGTGATATTTAATTTTCAATAATTTCTACATTGCTGTTTAAAAGTCTATATATAAATTCATAATGTAACCAACCACATGGCTATTTCTGATGTAAGATTTAAATAATTTAGTAAAATAAAAGGCAGTAATGCCCTTCCCTTTGAAACTCCCAAACCAAACAAGCCCCTTAAAGCACTATCGTCCTTTAGTTTACTTGTTGTCAACGGACTAATGAATTCTTTTTCTTGGTTCAACAGGTTTTTCGAGATTCTTTCAAGAGTGAGTTTTACATTCGTGGCACATACTCGTTACTGAAAGTAGTTTTACTCATTTTGAAATAGAAGTATAATCAGATAATCAATATATACTTGGTCTCTCATTGGCTACAATCTTAGCACATACTACGTTACTGACATCCACACTATATTATGGATTTCCTTATACTTAAACATGGGGCATTACTGATCCAATTGTTCATCCAATCAACTACCTGTTGTCATAAGTTACTGATTCTAGACTTTGTTATGCTTTGGGAATAAGTCTGGAAATGACCCAACATAGGAGTTAAAACCATGTGAAATACCAAAATAGAAGTATTACTTTTCTCCATAATAGGAGTAATTACTGCTATACTTTGGAAATACTGCCAATTATAGTAGTAATACTGCCACAATTATGCCTAGTAATGACAAAATATGACAGTATGATTTGAGGATGTACTCCTATTTTTCAATTTCACATTATTTTTATTTCTATTTTGGGAAATTTCCCATAAACTGCGGGCTTACATTTCCCTTTATCTATGGATGCACCTGATGCAGGATTGGCAGAATTTGCTGATCTGAATCGCAAGCTCCTGTCTGTGACAAGTGCAGTTCTCCTCAGTTTAGTAAGATCAATATTTGTCTGGTTTTCTCATTCTTTGTGTGTAAAATCGCCCCACCCCCACCCCCACATACTTCTCGAAGTACTCCTATGCGTAATATTCTGAGCGTCTCTTGCTTCAAATGCCAAATTACTACAGTGAGGCAGCTATGATTCGAGATCGTGAAGAGTATCTTTGAAAATCACAAGTTCCGTAAATGAAACAGTAATTCCTGTTTTTTCTTTCTTATTTATTTATTTATCTAAACAGGCCCCATTTATACAAGTGAGTAAATCAAGATCACTGCTCTTACTGGTTAACCCAGCTGCTTTTCTCATTGCAGTGGTCATGGGAGCGTAAGCATGCATTCCTCTTAATTCCATCCCATGACTTCCTCCAATTTAAGTTTCCTAACTCTTTGTGCACTTTTGACCATTTGGGTCAGGGGTAGCAAAAAGAAAGACTTGATTAATTTTTATTAGGAGATTGGTATTTGCATTCCATGTTTATACCGACATTTGACTTTATGTCCTATGTTCTTTTATTTGACTTTGCACCCGAGGACTCCTCTGAGCTGGGTGCAAAATCAAATTGTAGGGCAGACTTGGGTGCGAATACAATTTTTTCGTTATGCTTTGAGAAAGTGGACAAATGGATTCTTTGGTCACCCCTAATTTGGATAAAAATTTCTTCTAATCGAGAAAAACTATATTGTTCTGCAGGCTTTTGCATGTAATATTATTTTCTTTTAACGCTCTTGCGATAAGAATTTTCTCTCTTGGTGGACCCAAATCAGCTTTCGCGAAGAAGGAAAATGCCAGTGCCCTCTTATTTGTTGCGAGCCAGGTGAAATACAATTTCTCTGAATTGGCTGTGTGTCTCCTATTATTAGATGTTAAACTAAAGAAAATAGTGATAGAAACATAGGCAGTATGTCATATATTAATCCTAGTTTTAGCAGTATCATGGTGTCATGTTCACAAGTTTAGGTTTCTATATTGGATTTATGGCACCCATTGTATCTCTCTATATAAGTTACTCCATATGTTATAGTGATATAGTGTATGTATGAAGCACACCAACTTCCCATGGATTTAGTTTTCTCCATTTTAATTTCCCGGGGGCAGCTTCCTTAATTAAAAAGAATTTGGAATTCTGTTTTCTGGAAACTTCAAATTCCGTGATGAAATAGAGCATTTTAAGAACATTTTAGTTGATTTTTATATGATTCTTTTTAGCATCACGGTCATATTTCATAACCCAATGTAATGCAATAAATGTATAGTCCTCATTTCATGTATATTTATGTACTAATATGTAATACTTTCTAAATTCAACATGTAGACTATTTATGTGGTTTCCAAACAAAGTTACATGGAAACATATGAGCACATACATAAATGAAATGACATGTAAGCATATATATGAATGTGTTGATAAATATATCCTCACATTTTCTTATATATCTTTTAAAAATATTATCGTGTTTATATCGTATACTTTTTAGAAATCATGTTTAGAAAATATGAAGGTGTAAGCCTCTAATCATATAGATAACACAAATAATAGTCTCTATTTTATATTAGAAAACGTTACCGGTCATGGTAGCTGTTGTTGAACAGCTTGGTGGTGCACTGGGTGAACCTGGTCTGCTGATTCTTCCCGGTGTAGCAGCCCATTTGAGCCAGGTTGGTTATTCAATATTCCTTTTTATTTTTATTTTATAAAAAACTACTATCATTTTTTGATGTAGTTTATAAATAAGCTTCGTTTTTTGACACAAAAAGATTCGTGCAGATAATCATGGATTCATTTGTAGTCAACTATTGGCAGAAGGATCGAGCTAATAATCTATAGTATCGAGCCAATAATCATTTGTGTTTATTCCTTCGATGCATGGGCTTCCTGAATTTTACCTAAACACATCCATGTTAAATGTACTTTGATCAAGTGCTCAAGAGTTTTTTTCCGTATTAATGCTAATTAATTAAGTATTTACGAAAATAGGGTTGAGTTAAAAGTATTTACGGATATACTGCTGGGCTTAACCCTGGTCGGGGTAAGTCGCCAAACCATTTGGCGACTTATAAGTCGCCCAACCCATAAATTAATAAACAGGGTTAAGCTAACCTCGAGAACCCACCAGTCCAGTATCGAGAAAGAAAGTTGTCTTTTGAGAGCTCATCACTTGGGAAGTTAAAGAAGCCCACCAGGGTGTGGGCTTCTTTAACTTTCCCACACCTGAACTCCTTGGGAAGTTTGAAGGCTATAAATATGAATCACTCATCACTTAATATTAAAAGATGAAGGAGAATAGGGGAGCTCTCGCGCACACAAGAATTCCGGCTTCTAGTTCAGAACCGAAAATTCACACCCCCCTGCGCGGGCGACCTGCGGACACGATAGTCGTAAAATTCAGCGGGTCTCAAAAGACAATTTTGCCCCTCTTTTCTTTCCTTTTTTTTAAACTTTCTTTCTCGATACTGGACTGGTGGGTTCTCGAGGTAAGTCGCCAAACCGTGGGTTCTCGATACTTTCTTTCTTTCCTTTTCTTTCCTGTTTATTAATTTATGGGTAAGTCGCCAAACCGTTGGGCGACTTATAAGTCGCCAAACCGTTGGGCGACTTATAAGTCGCCAAACGGTTAACGGTTTGGCGACTTACCCCGACCAGGGTTAAGCCCAACAGTATATCCGTAAATACTTTTAACCCAACCCTATTTTCGTAAATACTTAATTAATTAGCATTAATACGGAAAAAAACTCAGTGCTCAATCACAAGTTATTTAGTACTAGAGCATCATTCCTTTTGAAGGTCTCCTTTTGAAAATAACGTTTGCAGGCAATCATCATCATCATTACCCGAGTGTCACAAAGGCTCCCATCTATGATGGGGTAAGGGGGGTTGGATGTCCGCAGTCTTGCCCCTGTACTAAAACACCGAGAGATTGTTTTTAGGACTTTAGTGAGCCATCTGTGAAATTCACGTCGAAAATTGCACGCACTGACTACTACTTCATAATAAAGAAGTGTAGATAGTTTAGGACTTTAGTGAGCCATTTTGCTTTGTTCCATCATATTTCCAAGGAAAAAAAACGAGTCTTTGGCTCCATTAAAAATGATTAAAAACATTTGGAGGCAATGATAAAATAAAATAATTGAAATTATTGTAATAATGACATTGTTATATGAGTGCATCAACATTGACATGTAATGATAAAATGATTAAATCTCCAGTCAGGAGAGCTAATTATTTTACACAATGGATATGAAAATCTTGATACGAGACGCCTAAAAAAGTTATGTGAGAATCCTGAAATGGACAATGAGAATACAAGCTAAATGATTTTGTTAGGTATTTGTTACATACTCCCTCCGTTCTTTTTTATTAGTCCTTTCCTTTTTGGGACGTTTTTTTTATTTGTCTCCTTTCCCTTTAAGGAAAGTTTTTGAGAAAATACCCCTACTTTTATTACTTTTACCCCACTTACTTTTTACAAACTATTTTCTCATTCCTACTTTACCATCACTTTACTCTTCTTAATACACTCTCTTTCCTACTTTATCATCACTTTACTCTTTTTAATATACCATCTCTCCTACTTTATCATTTACCCTACACACTCTATACTTATCCTATTACTTTATTATTAAATCCCGTGTCAAACCCTAAGGGGACTGATAAAAAAGAACGGAGGTAGTACTTATGAACGGTTTTAATTGTGCCACATCATTTAAAATGAAAAGTTCAATCTAAAATCAAATTTTGTTATTTGTATTCAAAAGCTTAGATCTTTTGCACACAATATAACTATATAAGTAGGGTTGTAAACGAATGAAATAATTTATGCTCGGTTCGCGATTCAAATTCGTATAAGACGGTTCATATTCGAAAAATTCAAATACAAATAAGAATACTAAATTTGATTCGAATTGTTATCAAATACAAATACGAATATCACTATATTCGATTTGAATGGTAATCAAATATATTCGATTTATATTAGTGATAACATTAATAATAGTAATAATCTACTATAATATAAAAGCAAAATCTATGAAAACACTGTTTTTTCAACAGTCTTCCCGCCCATATTCCTAAGGCAAGAATCCACAAGGAGAAATTACATAAATAGCCCTGTGAAAAGCCTCTGTGAAGGGTAAAATTGCAAAACATTAAATATGATTACACTTTGAACAGTTGAGCCGTTATTCACAGTTAGCCATTGCCAAAAAGTAAAAAGTTATACATGATCTATAGTATAAAGTTGAAAGATATACATCATATACAGTAGAATTAAACAGTAAAAAGAAAATATTGATGGAACATTGCGCATCTTCAGCATTTCAGCCAGCCTGTCTGAAGCCGCCTGTCTGTCTTGAGTTTATGTTGAGGCATGCGTACACACATCTCCATAAAAATAAGGAGTATTAAATCTGAAAAAGAAGAAAAAAAATATCACTTCATAATACAGCTAGCCTGTCTCTTGGGACGCGTGAACCTTCCTCCGGAAGGATTGTTCATTTTCCCTATAAATACTAGAATCCTCATTGCAAAAAAACACCACTCACCTTCTACCTGAGTGGCCAAGCGGCGAGGCTAAGACTTTGTTGGCGATGCAAGTAGCCAAGGGGGTGAAGAAGGGAGAGCCGACATTCTTAGCCGTACTTAAGGTGGACGACAAGACGGAAGGGGCGAAGGGCCGACGGGCGTACCACCTATTATCGAAGCTGTCCTTGAGGAGAACAAGGACGTGATGCCGGCGAAGCTACCGGAGAAGCTACCACCTAGGAGGGAGGTGGATCACAAGATCGAGTTGGGAAGATCATCCACTTCCCTATCAATTCTTCAACCTCTTCTCTCTCTCTCTCTCTCTCTCTCTCTCTCTCTCTCCACTATCAGCCTGGAATACGAAAGAGTATCATTCCAAGTAGTTCTTCTCTTAATTAGAGATCTAAATTACAATATTTTGCTTTAAATGAAAATTGATTGGTTGTTGGAATATTGTTCAACTATCTAACAGTTGAATGAACTACTATGTTATTTATCTTTTCTTTTGATCAAGTGAAAAATAAACATGAGATGCTAAGAACAACAAAAGGTATGAATGCTACTACATGTGAGTGATATGTGATCCTATTATTTGCTTAGGATTAGGATACAAAAATAAATGGAGTACTGCTTAGTCTTAATTTAATGATTGATACGTAGATGTTTTAAGTCAAGGATAAAGAAATATTGTTGATTGTATATTCAGATATGTTTAAACTATAAATAAATCCACAACCATTAAGATCTATCGATATTATAAGTTGTGTTTGTTTAGTTGTATTAGCTGTATAGTTAACATTTGTCTTTGAAGTATAGCATTAATTTTTTAGCTATAAATACTAGAAAACTGACTTCCAACGAATACATTCGATTGTTTTATTTCTTCTCATTCAAAGTTTTAAGCATAAGCAAGTATATTATCTGTGGATACACACACACGCACATGCATGTAATGAATGGAAAGTATAACATTATATACTACCGGAAGGAGGAAAGCAAATGAGCATTCAACTTTATAAGTATAAGCCAAAGAAGAAAAACTGTAGATCTAGTTATTTGACTTTACAAAATAGCAAGCTTCTAAGAAGCAATGGGTCTCTTCACGGTCATACGGTATTTTTTAGCTCATGAAAAACCAAACATAAGGCTTATATCCTAAACTCATTATTTATTCTCATAGTAAATTGATTAAACATAATAATAAATTGTTTTTCTGCTATATTTTATTAGTTTCAAAGATTATAACTGATTATAGACAGTGGAAATGGAAGGAATTATCCTAATTATAGTTACATAAGAATGTATTCCACTCTATACCAAAAGTTTGTTCATTTCAAAAGATTACCATGTGAAGTCATATGTTGACAATAATGTGAACATAAACTAATTGAAGTTAACTGAAGTTAAACTGTTGAATCTATTTATTTTATTTATTGATTGTGTCGTTAAGGTCCTGAGGACATAAATAATTTACATTTAAATAGGCACAAATTGAGAAACAAATTTACATTCAAATCAAGCTATTTTCAACAATTTCACTTAATTTATTAGAGAACTAAAATTCTAATTGTTTACAAATATCAAACAGTGATAGTTTTATCTAAGCAATAAAAGCAAAATAGATGAATGAAGGGAAAACTGTCAAATAGGTTCTCGAAGTTTCATAAAAAAAATCAATTAAGTCCTTCTATAGGAGACTTTGTTCGGCCGTCGCGATTTGGAGCGGTTCCCGGTGGAATTTTTTGATGAATTTTTTGAGCATCTTATTCATCAAGTCTAGTTTATTCATACCAAATTTGAGCTAAAAATTAAATTGAGAACACATTCAAATTAACTCTTGAAGATAACTGCGCATTTTTGCATTCTCGAATTAATTTAAATGCGTTTTCAATTGAATTTTTAGATTAAATTTGGTATGAGTAAACTAGACTTGATGAATAAGATGCTCAAAAAATTTCATCAAAAAATTCCACCGGGAATCGCCACAAATCGCGATGGCCGGACATAGTCTCCTATAGAAGGACTTAATTGACTTTTTTTATGATAGTTCGAGGACTTATTTGACAATTTTCCCATGAATGAACTATAAGAACATTCTTTTCTTACATCACATGCCACATGCCCATCAAATGCTCTTATCACATGAAGATTATTACAATTTTCAAAATCATTAAAAAACCTGCTAGATAAGTGAATAGATTTCCATGATATTTGCCAAAATTCTTACCTTCATATTACCATATATATGATCTGTTGAAAGGGAGAGTAATTAAAATGAATGCAAGCTAGCAAAATGTTAAAATGCATTTGTTGCCTTAGGTTGTGGAAGTAGTAAGCTAGAATGAAATCCAAATGAAATTTGCATATTTTGGGAGATACTACGTTTTAGATAATTTTGAATTGCCAAATCAATTGACAAGCT